GCTGTCTTTTTCTTAGGAATGTGCTTTCTCTTTATCACTTTGAACATGGAGAAAGGTACATTCATTCCTCAGATTCACCTCATACTTTTTGATATATGAGACAAGTATCATTTGCATCAGAAAACATTTCCAGTGACATCTCTAACCTATCAGCTGCAAAGCATCCAATAGAAGCCCAAGATTATGAGTCTATGTATCCACACTGAGGCATAAAAGGGAATCAGTGAATCCACCCTTTGGATTAATGTTGAGTGGTCTCTCAGTCTCTCCAAGCCCACCAGGCCCTACCTTTTTGGTGTGTAACCACATTCTGATCCTCTCATATATCTCTGTGGAAAGAAAAGTTAGAATGGAGGAGGGTTCAATATGTATGAAGCCCTTTGTTGTACTTAGAAAAAGGAAGAAAAGAATGACTGCTTGTTACGTTGGCTCCCAAAAGCCATTGAAACCACATCAGCAAATTTTATGTTTCTAGTTATAAATAATATCTCTAATTAAATCTTCAATAAAATCTGAACCCTGGAGTTCAGAGTTCTCAAAAACAATTCTGATCTGGATCTTCTCCCGTGCTACCAAAGGAAGTACTAGCTCTTTAATGCTTTCAAAATACTTGTCATTACTCATTTCTTCAATGAACACTTTTTAACACTCTTTCTTATTCTTTGGAAAAATGATAATTTTTTTCCTACTGATGTATTATCATCTTATTGTCTATGAATACCTGCCTCATGGGCTTGTTCTAAACTTTGATCAGAGGACAACCTCGCAGGCAGCAATAGGTGGGATTTATGATACCCTAGCACATCACCTGCCATAGGAGAGAGTCGGAACTCCAGGAACAACTCTACAAACTGAATTCAATGATTTTTTAAACCAAATTATTTAGTTTTATAATTCATAATCAAGACCATTTTCTTTTCTAGGTTTTACCATCCATAAAACGCAATTTATTTACCTCATGTAAACATGTGTACTGTATATGATATGGAGCAACCTTCTCCTCTCCTTTTATTTCCACATTGATTTTCAATCGAATGGCCCCAGATACAGCTGACTTATCTGTCCGTTTCTCTGATAAAGCAAAAAAGTAATTGTTTAGTCATCTTTGACAATACCATGTTTCTCATACACATTTTCGAAAGCTTAAAAAAAAGGCTTAAATAGCTAAAACCCATTTTTCTAGGTCAGATTTGATTATTAAGTAACCATAATTATTTCCCTAAATATAATTTAAAATTTTTGCCTACTGTGTCACTGTGATTATCAAACTGTCTTACAGATTCCTCCAATAGAAAAACTTTATCAGAAGATCCTGATATTCTGATATAAATTTCTGTGTACTTGATCAGTTTATACAATGAAACTAAATAAATTTTTGGCAATTAAAAGCAAGACAACCGAGAGTGCAAAATTAACCGGTGAAGTCTTTTGTCTAAAAGCTACCACTGCTCAGTTTCTGCTCTTTCTTTCTGTGCTTCAAAAGATGAACCAAAGCTCTGGTTAGCAAATAAACATTTTAATAATTTTCATTATCAATGATTTATAAAGACCTACAGTCTATAACCTGTGTTTACTTGTAAGTGTTGGATTAACTATTTATTTGAATGGAATCAATGTACAATTTAGCCAAATAATACGCATGAGTGTGTATTCAAAATGATCAGTAGCTTTGAGATAAATAAATACATAGTCACAGAATCCTCTGACACTTATTTCACAAATGAAAAATAGGATTTAGGTGAAGTGGCACAAAGTCAGTGCTGAACACTTTTTAAATTGGTCCTCTTTCTAAACATAACTGTACTTTTAGCCATATAAGATACAGGGTAAATCATGAAGGCTACTTTCTTCTTGTGGAATGCCTGCTGACTTCTACTTGTTATTATTTAATAGTCATTGTGTTGCAAAGTTTCTATTCTTAGGAGTGCTGGGAATACTGAGAGTTTTTCTTACTAGCTGAGAGATAGTTAATTCTCAATATTAAAGTTCTCTGCTGGGGCCAAGAGAAATGCAAGTCCTGGAATCTTTTTGTCACACACCTCTTTCCAGAGCTCCAGGGAGCTTTCTTGGTTCTTTGATTTTAACTATCATCATGCCAAAGGCTCTCTGGGTAGCAGGCTCTGCTTGGACACCCAGGGCTTTTGGCCAAGTCTTCCTTTGTGTGGTGGAATGAATTCT